TTCCCCCGCTTACATAATGTAAAAAACAAGCTGAATAATAACCTATAGAACTTTTTCAGGCTGCACTTAAACATCATAAACAAGCTAAGTGCAGAAGACCAAACAGTTTCCTTTGCAGGCCACATCTGAAGTACTATTTAACCAGCTATCCTGCACATTTATATCAATCCCTAATATGCCACTCCATGCCATATCTGCGAAGATTTCCTTCATTGTTTTAATCATTACAGAGTCTTCTGCTGGGTCATGCAAAACAAAATCTTGCCATCTCCTTTTCCATCTCCAGTATAACAGCTCATCAGAGAGTTCTTTCTGACTCCTGCTAAGTGTTAACTGGTAAAATTAAACTTAAGAAAAATGTTTTAGATGAGGAAATAATTTATTTATATGACAGTAGTGCCTGGAAGTCCCAGCTCATTGTGTTATGCTGTGTACAAATACACACTGAGATAGTCCCTGCCCTGAATATTTTATAATCTGAACAGGAAAGAGAGATCAAAGGTAGAAGAGATGAAGTATTATCACACCCATATTACAGATGGGGAACTGAAGCATGGAGAGATTAAGTTCTTGCTCAGAGTGATATTGGGAGTCTGGCCAATCTCCAGTTTGGTACCTTAACCACCAGACAATCCTTCCTAATCGTGGTGACTGAGGACCAAGTTTTGCTGCCATTTACCCTCCTTCAGTCCCATTGATTTCAGCTGGGCTCCCAGAGTACAACTGAGAACAGAGGACCTGATCTTGCAGGTTTTGGGACAGAATTTAGCACTGAATGTGTTATGGGACTAGTTGGGGAAAAAAACAAATCTGTTTGTTAGCTCAACCTAATTAGACTAATCAAGTTAATTCCTCCCTCCCCACACACACACCAAGGGAGACAGTGAAATGGTATCATGTAAAAGTTACTTAAAACAAAGGAAGAACAGGAGTACTTGTGGCACCTTAGAGACTAACAAATTTATTAGAGCATAAGCTTTCGTGGACTACAGCCCACTTCTTCGGATGCAAACAAAGGGTCAGCTGCCTCCTGAGTGCCCCCTTGTGGCCAGAGGCAATTGTGCGGCACTTATCTCTGTTTTCCCCTCATAAGGGCCCCTTACAAGCAGTGCACAGGCTCTAATGTGGATAGCAGCTCCCCCTGCTGGGGCTAGTTTAGAACTGAAACAATTCTTTACTGTATCACCAGCACCCTGCCTGAGACCAGTTTAATATCAGAACTAGTTCTGAACAGTCCTCAAGGCCCCAAAATAAAGTCCATCTCCACATTACAGACCATACTTAGCCCTGGTGTCTTCCCACGTAGCCAGAGCTCTTCTGTCCTAGTCTGTTCTCAGCCTGTCCTCCCAGATCTTCCTAGCTGGAGCTCAGCCTTCTAACTTAGACCTTAGGCTTTATAAAAAGCAGTTTAATAAAAATATCAGTATTGCCAACCACAAGCATTCAATAACCATGAATCATGCCCTCAAAAATCATGAGATTATTTTTAAAATCTCATTATTTTTAAACCATATACATTTGGGGGTGGGGTTTCTCCTGGTTTTTGAGCCTTCTGGGTTTACTCAGGGCACATTTTCAGGCTTTACTCCACAACTTTGAGGGCTTCAAATTTATTTCTTTTGAAATGAAAGCTGAGATTCTCCTTCGGTCTCTTAATTCCAGCAGCTGGCACTGTAACAAAAACATATATGAGAGTTGGCAACACTGAAATAAAAATAACCTTAATGAAGTAGTGTCAGAGGAAATTAGAGAAGAATCTGTTTAATGTATTACATGGCTCTGGTTTCCTTCTCCAGACCGGAGGAAGAGCTCTGAGAAGCTCAAAAGCTTGTCCCTTCCACCAACAGAAGCTGATCTAATAAAATATATTACCTCACCCACCTTGTGTCTCTCTCACATCCTGGGACTAACATGGCTACAACAACACTCAACAATAGTGAAGTGAAACAGATCAAATCTATATCTCTAGAACTGTTTGAACCTCCCTATGCCATTTATATAGCCTGCAAATCTCTTTTCTTCAAAATCTCTGGAGTGTGATGAATAGCTCTCATTTACCATGGAGTATCTCAGGACAGATTTTCGGAAATGTATTGTTTACAGCCAACTCTGCTCTCTTAATCAGTTTCCAAAAAGGACATAAAACGGAAGTTTTAAATATTGGTTATATGGCACTGACAAATTCCAAAGTAACCTAGTGTAGATCTGTCACATTCCAGGTGTAATCCAGACCAGTGAGGGGTTGTGTCACTACCTGTCCTGCAATCTTGGGTGCCTCACAATGCTTTGCTGTTGTAGCTCCCATAGGTGCTGACTCTGTGGGTGCTCCAGGGCTGGAGCATCCATGGGGAAAAAATAGTGGGTCCTGAGCACCCCCCGGCAACCTCTTTATAAGCTCCCCTCTTATGCCCCAGTGTCTCCCACCCGCCGGTAAGCCCCACAGATCAGCACCTCCTCCTCCCTCCGCCTCCTGCAATCAGCTGTTTCGTGGTGTGCAGGGAGGGAGGGAGAGGAGTGAGGATGCGGCGCACCCGGATGAGGGGACGGAAAGAGGCAGGGTGGGGCCCTGGGGGAAGGGATGAAGTGGGGGCTGAGGCAGAGCCCCGGAGTCGAGCACCCCCCAGCACATCTTTGAAAAGTCGGCACCTGTGGTAGCTCCCAATCTAGGCCACTCACAAACAGCCTTCAAGCATACAGGTCACAGCTTGAGTGTCTGTGTATAGCTGTAGACCTGGTCCAGCAGCTGTTATCCCAGCAGCTTGTCAGCAACACACCAATCACACTCTGGATTCCACCAGCCTTGGTTACTACTTGCAGGGTGACTCCAACACAATCCCAGTCCTGAATTTTTCCAAAAACATGTGTTTTGCACTGTCCACCCCTCTCCAGGACAGTTCAGATATCAAGGTTTCTTGCTCCTGAACAGTCAATATTCAACTGTTTTATACTTTAATTGGAGTCACCAAACAGTTCAAACACAACACTGGATTAGTTTAGATTAAAAAATAATACAAGTTTATTAACAAAAGAAGTTAGGATTTTAAGTTAATTCAAGAATGGTTACAAGCAAATAAAAGTGAAAACACATCTAAAAGTCTAAAACTTAAACAAAGCCTTGAACCAAAACTTGCTAGTTTAAGATGGTCTGTCTCACCCACAATCTTCCAGCAAGATGGTGACTGTCCCTTTCCTTAGTCAGGAACTCTCCCAAAGATGGTGGTGCCTTTGTCTTCTTAGGTGAGAGAGAGAGAGACCTGTTTAACAACTTTTGCCTAGGCAGGGCTGTGTACTTTTGAATATGTGCTAACTACATCATAATTTTACATATAATGTTGCTACATACAATTCACCATGATAGTACTGACCAGTTATTAGTTTTCAAATGATACCTCACAAGCATATTTTGTATAAAGATTACTACAATAGTGTGTAGGATGTGAATATAGGGGTGCTTTCAGTCACCGCATCCATTGCCACAACTTTGATTTAGTTAATTTCTTTATATGCTCTATCACATAAACCACTGAAATATCATGTCTTAACCACCACAGATACCAAGTTACATAGATAATATATCTGATTTGTCTAAAAATGCTTAAATAATAATAAAAGTCAACCCTAGGTCCTACTGAAGTCAATGACAAATCTCCAATTGGCTACAATGGGAACAGGATTTAGCCATTACAACCTGTGGGCCCTGTCCTGAGAGGTGCTAAGTGCCCACTGATGTCAATGAGAAGAGAGGACATTCAGTATCTCGCAAGGTCAGGTCCTACATGAGTTTAGGAACATCGGAAATGTCATAATAAATCAGAGCAGTAGTCCTGTAAGGATAAGGCCTTTGTCTGCAGCCATATTGTAAGGCCTAAAGCCTAAGGCCTTCATCTGCAGCCAGATTAAAAGAGCAGCCAAGCAGCAGCCATTAGCTAAAAAGCAGGAAGTCTCATCCTCACATTCCATCTAAGTTACATTAAAACAATGTAATATCAGGCTGTGAAGAAGGAGACCCTGTCCTAACAGCACACACTATCACCAGATAAAGAAACAGACCTTAAGATGGTTGAAGAAAACTTAGTTTGATAGCATTCTGTCTGTCAAGAAATCACAACCACAACTATTGATGTGAAATCCTCATTTCTTTATTGTTTTGGCATTATGGTCCTCGCTTCCCTATTGTTTATCTGTATGGTCTCTGTCTAGTTCTTTAATTGTTTCTGTCTGTTACATAATTAATTTTGCTAGATGTAAATTAATTAAGGTGGTGGGATAGATTGGTTAGAGAATTTTGTTACACTATGTTAGGATTGGTTAGTAAAATTTTAGTATAATGATTGGTTAAGGTATAGCTAAACAGGACTCAAATTTCACTATATAAACTGGGGTCCAAAAGGAAGTTCTTTGGAAACCAAATCCAGGACCCAGCCCCAAGATCAGAGCTGCCAGACCTCAACACACCTGCCAATAACACCGAATAGAAACTGGAGTCCCACATATGGACCTGATCTTGACTGGCCATCAAGAAAAGTTCATCTGTCTTATTGGGAGTGGTGAGCACTGTATGTGTAGCATGTGCAGTCTGTTTTGGCAATTGTTAATATGTTATATTACTGTGTAGGCTCTTTCACTGGTAAAAGGTCCTACACCTGCAGAAGTAGTATACATCTGTAGCCCTACGTATTGGGAAAGGGTGTGGGTACTTAAATTGACCAGGTTAGTTACACTCTGAGCCCTCCGAATTGGGTAAGGGTAGTGCTTTTCGCCTGGAGTCCTACGAATTGGGAAAAGGTGGCGGTGCCTAAATTAACCGGGTTATGCCTGGAGCCCTATGGACTGGGAAAAAGTGGGGTACCCTAATGTGTGCAGGTAACAGTCCATCTAGTCCAGTGTCCTGTCTCTTCAATAACCAACACCAGATACTCCAAAGGAAGGTGCAGCAAACTTCACTGTAGGACAGACTGGTAGGAACGACAGTAGGACCAGCAACAGCCCAACCGGGTTATCAAGAATGTCCAGAACTGGAGACTGGAGATATTGCTGCACCTGTTAATGCTGTAAAGGAAGCTTGGGTCTCTGCCACTGCCTTATTAAAAACCAGTTCAGGTACTTGCTTGCTATGGATTTTTACCAGGTTGGGTGCCACTTTGGGGCCAGTATCACATTCAGTAACTCCTGGAACTGGGCTGTGCTAGACACCCGGGATGAGGAGCAGTTCCTGCAAAACTTCCGAGTTTGAAGACCTTTCTCTGTCTCCAGAGGGCTTGCCCCAACATTGGAGCTCTGCTCACTGTAGCCAACAAGTGAGGGTTACTCAGCAGAAGCTGACAACCCCAGATACAATGTCACTCACTGGGACGTGCATTCAGGATTGGGAAGCCCATGTTGGAGGCTGACACGTTGCTGGCGTAATGGCAATACATAAAGTTCTGCAGGGCATTAAATCTGTAGCTAGGTTTGCAGCTGGCACAGGAATCTGGCCACTAACGTGATGTGGGAGGTGCTGACAGCAGGCTAATTCGGGACAAGAGGGTGGGGCCTTACAGGAAGCTATAATGTAAATGCCCTTAAGACAAATACAGCAAAAAAGTTAGCCAATTTATCTGTCTTCTCTGATCTTTGCAAATAATGTGATGCAAGATTCTTTTGATCTGGACCTGTTTTGAACTGACTGCCCTCTTTTATCCCCTACAGCCAGCTCCAGGACCAACTGAGCACCCCATCTCCTCCTCCTGTCTCATGATAGCACTGACCCTTCCCCCTTCTCTGTCCCGAACTAGCCCCGAGGGACAAACTGACCAAGCCCTGCCTCTTCTCCCCAGCCAGCCCCATGGACCGATAGAGCCCCTGCTCCAGGGACAACTGATCCCCTATCCATTCCCACCCCAGCCAACCAGCATCAGGGCCCCACTGACAGGTTGTTGGGACCTGCCAGCAGAGCCCCCACTGCGCTTCCCTACTCCAGAAGACCATAGTTGCCTTTCCCCTTCCACTATCGCTCAGCAACTGTGCCCTGGATGCTACTGTGATGTTACACTCCATATGTTTTATGGAAATAGGGTAATGAGTGTGAATATAATGTAACTAGAACATGCTTTATGCAAAAGGTGTCTTGTAAGGTATCATTACAAAGCTTATAATCATCCTGAGTGTTAATCCTATTTGTATGAATGTATCATTATTGTATCTGAAACTAGGAATATGAAATATAACATTGGGGTCCTATTGTAATTATGCAAAGTGTGGGCCATTAATGGTGGTTTGGAATCTGGATGGCCCCCATTAACTGGGACAATTGCCTGTAAATAGCTCTGTTTACTTGCAAACCTTCCTGGGTGCATGTGGGCCAGCCCTGGAAGAATGGAGGCTGGGGTCTCACAGGACATGTCACCTGGTAATAAAATCCATCTTAAATCTGGTACTTTTCCATTTAGAAGGAGGGGTGGGGACCCAGAGAGACAAAAAATTCCCGTCCTGTGCCAAAGCTATAAAAGGGGTAGAACAGAACACAGGGGCTGCCAGTCATGAGAAAACCCCTAGTTACCAACTGAGCTGGAACTAACAAGGACTGTATGAGGGGCAAGGATTGGGCCCAGACTAGGAAGGAGTCTAGTCTGTGAAAGAAGCTTATTGGAACATCTCTGAGGGTGAGATATTACCTGTATCAGTTTCTTAATATATTAAGCTTAGACTTGCATGTTTTTGCTTTATTTTGCTTGGTGACTTACTTTGTTCTGTCGGTTATTACTTGAAACCACTTAAATCCTACTTTTTATACTTAATAAAATCACTTTTGTTTATTAGTAAACCCAGAGTAAGTGATTAATACCTGGGGGAGCAAACAGCTGTGCATATCTCTTTATCAGTGTTATAGAGGGCGGACAATTTGAGTTTACCCTGTATAAGCTTTATACAGAGTAAAATGGATTTCTGGGGGGGTTGGATCCCATTGGGAACTGGGTGTCCGGGTGCTGGAGATAGGTGACCTGCTGAGCAGTTTTTGGTTAAAATCTGCAGCTTTGGGGACATGAACCAGACCTGGGTCTGTGTTGCAGCAGGCTAGCGTTGTTATACCAATAAAAACTAGCAGGATCTTATTAAAGAGGACAAGATAAAGATGCCACATTTATTATGATAACAATTTGATTTATGACCAATAACTAATATCTTAATCCTTATACACACACACATTCACACACCTAATATCTAATACCTATTCACACACACACACACATCCATCAGACGTTCTGCAGCTGCTGTATAGTTACCAGTCCTGTTTGAGTTTGCAGCTTGGGTTCGTAGCTTGTGGCGGCTAACTGGCCAGGAAAGCCAGGCACCGATGCCCTTCCATGTTGGCCATGCACCGATGCCCTTCCATGTTGGCAGCAGAATGTTACCCTCCTCCAAAGTTTTCCATCTCACCCATCCTTTTTGTAGGCTTTAGTTTGAATCCAGAGTCTATAGGTCTTGCTGTGTCACTCTGTCTCTGGGTTTGGTGATTGATCACTCGTCAATTGCAGACATGACTTTCAGCCTTGGACCAGGCTTTGATCTTCCTTCTATTGTACCTTTTCTTTTTAGGGTGGATTCTTTTTACTTTGTTAGGGCTCTTGTCTGCATCTTCAGCCATTGGTGTTTGAACTTTATTTAATCAGGACAGGCTGGGGCTGGAGGTTGATTCCATCATCCATACATACCTCATTCACACATCTAAATTAATAAGATTACAGCAGGGTTTGCAAAAAATGAAGGTTGCAGCAAGCCCTTACAAAATGGAGTAAGCGTTTTAAAATGGGGTTTGAATTACAATATGGCAAACAGTGAACAGAAGTTACAA